AATCAATTTAGCAGGCTGACATGCGTGTATCCAAGACGACCCCAACCGGGCAGTACACCAAAACAGTCCTCCCAGGGGAGAGGAGCGAGGACCAAACCCTGTGTCGAGCAGTTTGAAGTGGGAGGCATAGAATAATAGGGACGCCTTGTATGGCGTAAAGAACCGCAGGATTTGGGTCACTTGTTCACCTAGACACTGCCTCACATGGAGGCCCCACAAACGCACAGGGACTCCTGTCCTCCAAACACCTTCGAGCCATCCGTACCCAGTACAGCATAGGGTTTGGTCCTCGCTCCTCTCCCTCTTCCCTGTTTTGGGATACTGCCCGGTTGGGGTCGTCTTGGATACACGCACGTCAACCTGCTAAATTGATTCTCTCCATCTCCTGAAGAAGCGCCTCTGTCTTTCTTGAAATGGGCGGTATAAATGGAGTGAGCGTATAAGGAGACATCTGATCAGCCGGTTGTTTTTATTACTTGTACTGTATGTGAATCAATCTTTTAAAATATTACTAAGATTAAAATACTTTTTCACTGCTAAATTGCTTTGGATTTGTCAATAGGTGCCCAAAAAACCCCCATCTTTTTTCTTTCCTTTTTATATCAAAGTTCTTAGGGGTGTGGCACCAACTACTCAGGCCTCGGCCATAAATACAAATTTAAGCTTAGTTTACATGGCCGACGCTGGGGGGTGGGGGAGGGGCTTTCTGCATAGATCACCACAGGTAAAGCAAGCAGCTGGCCTGGTGCTCAAGACTGAATAGGTGCCCGACCCTGGGGTGGTGGTAGGCCAAGCCTTTGCAAAGGACAGCAGCTGTTCTCTGCAAAGGCTTCCCTCGCCCCCACCACAGCGTCGGGCCCCTATTCAGCCTTTGGCACCACCTGCTTGCTGCTACGGTACTGATCTCTGCAAAGGCTTCCCCCACCCCAGCGTCGGACCCCTATTCAGCCTTTGGCACCACCTGCTTGCTGCTACTGTGCTGATTCTGCATCAGCACAGTAGCAGCAAGCAGCTGGTGCCCAAAACTTAATAATAGGGGCCCGCCGCTGAGGTGGAGGGGAGGGGAAGCCCTTGCAGAGATCAGTACAGTAGCAGCAATTTGCTGGCCTGGTGCCCAAGGCTGAATAGGGGCACGACATGGCTTCCCCCACCTCAGCATTGAGCCCCTATTCATCCTTGTGCACCAGCTGCTTGCTGCTACTGTGCTGAATCTGCAACAGTAGCAGCAAGCAGCTGGTGCCCAAAACTGAATTATAGGGGCCTGACGCTGAGGGGGGAAGCCTTTGCAGAGATCAGTACAGTAGCAGCATTTAGCTGGCCTGGTGCCCAAGGCTTCCCCCACCCCAGCATCGGGTCCCTATTCAGCCTTGAGCACCAGGCTAGCTGCTTGCTGCTACTGTGCTGATCTCTGCAGAGATCAGCACAGTAGCAGCAAGCAGCTGGTGCCCAAGGCTGAATAATAGGGGCCCGACGCTGAGGTGGGGAGCCTTTGCAGAGGACAGCACTTCAGCGTTGGGCCCCTATTATTCAGCTGTGGGCACCAGCTGCTTGCTGCTACTATGCTGCTTCTGCAGAGTCAGGTAGCCAATAACAGGCTGGCTATTGCACCCGCCCACTGCCTGCTGTCAATCAACAGAGGTGGACCTGATAGAAAACTTCAGGTCCCTCCTCCAGTAGCCAGCCTGTTTTTGGCTATTGCAATTTGAAATATCCAATAGGAGGCTGGCTATTGCTTCCAGCAATTAAGTAAAAAAAAGTTTACAAAAATAAAATAAACTAAAATTAAAAAAAGTTTAAAAAATAAAGTTAAATAAAAAGTAAAAATGTAAAAAAAATACAAAAAAAGTAAAAAAAAAAAAAGTTAAATAAACTAAAATTAAAAATCCACCATAAAATTAAAGGCCCCATACCCTGCGAACACACGCATTTAAAAAACAAAAACATAACATAAAATAAATATTTTTTTTTTTAATACTCATCTGATCCCTGGATCCACCGACAAGTGCAGCCTCCCGTCTCCCATGCTGTCAGAAGCTGCATACATCGTTTGCTGGTTACTACTTAAACCGGCGCGCTGTGTGTAGCATCTGAGAAGATACAGTATTAGCGTAGCGGGAGCGATGCAAAATGCGCAGTCGGCTTCCCCGCTATGCTAATAGCGTATCTTCTCAGAAGATGCGCACAGCGCGCCAGTTTAAGTAGTAACCGGCACACGCTGTATGCAGCTTCTGTCGCAACTGCAGGACGCAGATGCCATCCGCAATTAAATCAGCTCTCGGCGCCCATCGGTTGCGACATGCAATGAAAATTATTAGTGCCCCCCCATATCTGACTGTGGTATCTTATGTGCCCCCCCTAAATATTGTTCCTAGAGTCGCCACTGACTGGGACAGCAGCAGATGTATGAGGGGGGGCAGCGGGGAAGTCACAGCAGTCTCTTCTCCATGCTGGTGCCAGCTGCAGTGGTCTGTGTCCTCGGTGCATCTGCCAATACAGGCGGGGATTGAGGGGGACACAGAATGCTGTAGGCAGAAACAGCGGGGAGGAGAAGGGACAAGCAGAGTGGTGGCGCCAGTGCTGCAAATAATCGATAATGATAATCTTTGACAACGATTCTCATTATTGATTTCATTTTAGTTTTATTTCGTTGACGAAAATTGAGTACCGGACAAAAATCGTTTTCGTCCCATCAACTACTTTTTAATTTCATTTTTGTTTCATTGTTATCACTGTATCGACCTGTAAGCCCTGTGTTACTTAGTACTATGACCTGTAAGCCCTGCTACTACTCTGACTTGTGAGGTCTGTGTTACTTATTACTCTGACCTGTGAGCCCTGCGTTACATCCTACTCTGACCTGTGTTATTTACTACTCTGACCTGTGAGCCCTGTGTTACTTACTACTCTGAACTGTAAGCTCTGGGTTACCTACCACTGTGACCTGTAAGCCCTGTGCAGGCCCGGCGCTACCGCAAGGCAAAGCAAGCGGCCGCCTGAGGGCGCTGCAGGGTGAGGGAGGAAAAAACAGGGCATTTTGACAAGTACTTGTACTTGTCAAAATGCCCTGATGCTTGCGCTATGGTTTTTTTTTTTTCGGGAGAGCAGCGGCGAGAGGATCCCGACACGCGTGGCACCTCTGGCAGTCGCTGGCCAGCTAAATTAGGACCCCACCTGGAGCTCCTCCTACCGGACCAGCGCTGACTCACCACTGCTCTCGAAGGTAAGTGAAGAAAAAAAAACATGCTGATAGGGAGCAGGCCCAGCGCTACAGGGGGTCGGGGAGGGGGGGGGCACAAAAATGCAACTTTGCCTGTGTAGGCAAAAATCCTAGCACCGGCCCTGCTGCCACCAGATCACTTCCAGGGGCCAGTTTACTACGCCCCCTCTGCCCGACACCACCGACTTGCTTTCTGGGCTCCGGTGTCCCTCCTGCATGCCCAGGACCCATTTTGAGGGTCGGTGGAAAGCAGAGAAGGAGAGCGAGGAACATCCGTTTTAAGAATGAGCACTATATTTAAGATGCCTAAATATGCACATACAACCTCTGCGACCCTGGTAGTTCCATTGCCTGTGTAGGCAAAAATCCTAGCACCGGCCCTGGTTACTTACTACTCTGACCTGTAAGCTATGTGTTACTTACTACTCTGACCTGTGAGCTCTGCTTTATGTACTACTCTGACATGTGAGCCCTGTGTTACTTATTAATCTGAACTGTGAGCCCTGGGTTACCTACCACTGTGACCTGTAAGCCCTGTGTTACTTACTATTCTGACCTGTGATCTCTGTGTTACTTACTATTCTAACCTCTGAACTCTGCATTACTTATGTCTGACCCATGCACTCTGTATTATGTATACCTGTCCTCTGCATTACATGCTATCAACCTCTGAACTCTACACTACTTAAGCTTGACCCCTGCACTCCATGTTATCTACTATTCTGAGCTCTGAACTCTGGGTTACTTACTATTGACCCCTGCATTATGTGTTACATACTGACATTTGAACTCTGCATCACTTAGTCCTAACCCCTGCACTGTGGATGAAAGCAAATGCCAATTTTTTCACTATAGCTAAAAAGATAGGATATGTTTATATTTTTACAGTGACATTTGTGTTATATTTCAAAGTTTTCTTTAAAACTTAATTTTTAATAGGGCCTTGCAAGCTTATTTACTTAAGAAAAGACACTGCGCCTTGCTTATCTTGGGTATGGCTTGTTACGGATACTCTCAAGGCTTCCCTCCTAACTATGAATGTATATCTTGATGACTCTTATTTATAATCTGTTTATTTTGTCTTTATATCTATAAATGTCTGATTCTTGTTCTAAAAGTCTGTGGCTATTAGAGGATATGTAAAAAATGGGGGAGGTGTGGTTTGTGGGTGTAGCCACAAATGGGGGTGTGGGTGTGGTTAAAAGTAAGTGTGGTCAGTAGAGTGTTCCCGGTTTTAATTTGGAAAATCTGGCAACATTATTATTCACCCACGGTTCACACAGTTTCACCCAAGATTCATGCATTTTCTAATTTGGTTCAATTGGAAAATATGTAAATCCTTGGTATAAATTGTATGACTCTTGTGTGGAAAAAAACTGTAAATGGCCTCATATGTGTCTAGTACAAACATAAGTATGTGTCTTCTACAAGAATAATTTAAAAACAAGAATATTTCTAGGCCAAAAGATAACATTAAAGCATTTTTACGGGATGTTAAAAGGGTCTATCTAATCCACTAGATTACAAAATATGTTATTTTTATTTTAGGGTGCGAAAGGAAAGGACGATTGTGACAAGCTTCTGAAGGATCTGGATGAAAATGGAGACTCAGAAATTGATTTTAAAGAATTTGTCATTTTTGTTGCTTCATTCACCTGCCTGGTACATGAGAGATTCCAGGAAAGCGCCAAGAAATAAATATTTAAACCGGTCACATTTTATAAATAAAGCTTTGTGATTTACAATAATGTACATAGGTATCAATTTTTTTTTTTTTTATAAACCATGTGTCTCAACATTAGGAGAGGTTTAGGTGGAGAAAGTTGTTTAAACCAAATTAACAGCGCTAGTAAGTGAATCAAAAAACCATATAATCGTGTTTGTGAACTACAAATCATAAAAAAACCACATCAATGCAAGTGCCGTTAATCAATAAAAAAACACGGCACTGTAATAGTTAATAAACATGTGTACGATTAGGAGGTGATTTTTAACCAAGTGCATCTAGGTGTCTCAGTGTGTAAAAATAAAGTGGATCAGTCTATACACATTAAAAAATCCTTCACTTTTTTTACACCTTCATGTGCATTAATAACATTAAGTGACAAATCATATGCGTGAAAAAATTCAGGTGGGTAAACAAAAATACAAACGAAAATAATTGTGAATGACAATTAATTGTGCTAACAAAAAATATATATAAACAGATAAAGTCTCTGTAATATACAGCTCCGCTTCAAAGCCAAATAGAAGAGCCTTCCAATGTTCGGTAGAGTAGTGCTTTCCTGGGGTTTGTATTAAGATCAATACATCCCCCTAATAGAGTGCGTACTCACCCCAAACTTTTGGCTGTAACAGACAGCCCCAAACGCTTTGTCTGATGGGACACCGTTACTGCGGCGTCTTTCGTATTTCATTCTTTACCATCAGTCCTCAGTGTAAAGTATTCCCACAGTCATGCAAAGAAAAAATCTTTCATCGGGTAATAGTTCCAAAAATAGTTTATTTAAAATTTCTTTTAAAATTCAAAAAATCACATTCGGCCGGTCCGAAAAAAAACGTGTTTGGTATGGTAGACCTGCCCCTACATGTTTCGCCACCACCGACGTCCTCAGGGGAATTGCAGGTTTCTTAGGTGGAGAAAGGCCTGACTGTCAATGGTATCCTTCTCTGAGCTGCTGGTGGGAACATAAGAGGATGCTGGAGGGACAACGCCTTACATTGTTTTACTTTGTATTACAGAATACAAGCATATATACGACCATTCATGAACAGGTTATATTGGACCTAAACTCAAAGAGTGACAATTTGGTGTTACATAGTTACATAGTATTTGGGGTTGAATAAAGACATACGTCCATCAAGTCCAACCCATATAGGTCCACGCATCATCTCATTCTTAGGGATACTGGTATCCCTGGATATTACAGTCCCTCAAGAAATTGTCCAAATGTTTCTTGAACAAATCTACACTCACTCAAAATTAGGAATATGGTCTTGTTATAACCTGGCTTAATTCCTTAAGTACCTTGGGGTGAAGGTTATCTGGTCCAACTGCTTTATTTGCATTGAGCATTTTAAGTCTATGTTCTATTCCGCTTTCCATCAACCATTGTGGTATATTATCGGTTGAACTATGTGTTTTATCACGTTCGTCGAACCCTTTTCCCAAATATGTAGCGGTGCATTTCCTATATCCCGAAACTTCTGTGCCCACAGCCTCACAACTGTATATCTGCAGTTTGAGGTCATCCAGGGCACTGTGCTGGTCTCATCAGATTTGGAGTGAGATTTGCTGATGTCTCCACTGTTTTCTAGAAAGGAATCTGTACCTGAGGACCTGCTCTGCACACCTTTCCCTTCTTCTGCTTTGTCCATTGTGTGGATCTGCTTACCTCCAAACTTTCTAAGATGGGAAAGCGGGACACCTTTTAGTATAAGGTATGTTGGCTAAGGACACACCCCACCACATCCACAATTTAATGGGCCACAATTAAATAATACACAAATAATGGATGGAGTACCACGTTTAATACTTTTGATATCTATTGCAAATAGAAACAAGACACCAGGTATTCTTTTGTCATTAGATATACCACAAGCTTTCGATACAATCTCTTGGCGGTATATGTTTATTATACTTGAGAAATGGTGCCTAGGCCCAAGTTCTGTACATGGGTTAGAGCAGGCCTCAAAATTTCCACTCGCCCCCTCGCAATTGGCGAGTGAAAATTGCGGGGGGGCGAGTGGAATGTCAGCAATGTTTCCTCGCCGGCGGGACTAGGGATGGGACACTACCGCCGCGGAGATCGGTCGCTCGCTTCTGTTTTCTCTTCTCTTTCTCGCCTGCTGCAGCTACAGAGCGGCCGAGCCCGAGAAGAAGAGAAAACAGAAGCGAGCGAGCGAGCGAGTGCCGCGGCGGTAGTGTTCCATCCAGAGCCGGAGCCAGCTCTCTGCGTTCACTCTCTTTTCGTCCCGGTAGCTTCAGCTCCACTCAGAGAGGGGGCTCTGATTACACCCGTTATCGCTCCCTCTCTCTCCTTCTGGCCGCTCTGAAGCTGCAGCGGCCGGGAGCAGAGAGAGGGAACGCTGACAGGTGTGATCGTAGCCGCCTCTCTGAGTGCCCGCTTCCTGGAGCTGGAGCGGTCGGGAGAAGAGGTGATCGTTCAGCGGTGTGATTCTGAGCATTCTTAAAGAGCCCCCCCTCCCAGTCCACATCTTTTGGACGTTATTAATCTGAGTTGCCCCACTCAGTCTGCCCCTCGCTTGCGGCCATATTGAGTGGGGCACTCATATTAATAACGTGCTGGATTAGTCTGACCCAGGGGCGGACTGGGCCCGGGGGCAGGGTGGCAATTGCCCCCCCCAGGCCTCTCTGATACCTTTGCCAATTCCCCCCTGCCACGGCAAGGACTTTATCTCACCCCTCTTGGCCTCTGCAGCAGCAGAGCGACCGAGAGGGGAGAGATTAAATGCTTATGGCGGCAGTGGGGGGCGTTTGCAAAGGTATCAGAGAGGCCTGGGGGGGGCAATTGCCACCCTGCCCCCGGGCCCAGTCCGCCCCTGGGTCAGACTAATCCAGCACGTTATTAATCTTAGTGCCCCACTCAATATGACCTCAAGCGAGGGGCATACTGAGTGGGGCAACTCAGATTAATAATGTCCGAAAGATGTGGACTGCGAGAGGGGCTCTTTAAGACTGTGGAGAAGAGAACAAGAAGCTCCACTGCCATAGTTTGTGCCCTCTTCGATTGGGCTCCTCGGTGGCCACAGCAGTTTCCTCCGCCCACCTCATTGGTGGGAGAGGAAGACTGCAGTACCGCAGTTGGCCGGCTTCTGCTGTGCGGGACAGAGAGCACCTGGAGCCGGCTGGACGTACAGGCAACCTCGCTGCTCCCCCACCATCACCAGGAGAAGAAGAGTTCAAGGCAACTGTAAGTCCCTGTACTTTCTTTGTGACCTCTGCACTGCGTTACATACTGACCGCTGACCTCTGTACTGTGCGTCACACCCAGATCTCTGTACTGCGCGTCACATTGCTGACCTCTGTACTGCGCGTCACATTGCTGGCCTCTGCACTGCGCATTGTTACTGATCTTTATACTCTGCGTCACACCGCTGACCTGGCGGAGTTAAGTCCGGGGCAGGGTAGGGGTTAGGTGGGGCAACTGGTGGCGAGTAACTTTTCAGGCCTGGCTAGTAGCTTAGGACTTGAAATTTTGAGACCTGGGTTAGAGCATTATTAAAAGGGACCAGGGCATTTATAAAATATGCAGGTTTCCGCTCAGACATCTTTACATTATTAAGGGAACAAGGCAGGGTTGTCCCATGTCCACATTATTATTTGCATTAGCAATGGAACCCCTGGCATTGACAATTAGATAAAGTGTAGATATTAGGGACATGGAAATAGCAGGATATGAACATAATGTTTCATTTTTTTCAGATGACACAACTCTAATTTTGTAAAACCCTATTATTTCCCTAACAAATTTAATGGAGCTGTTGAGAGAGTTTGAAGGTATCTCGGGATTGTAGATTGTAGAGCATTGAAGACTAATTTAACACAGGTGATGGTTAGCCAACTTCAAAAGGTATTCCCTTTTCAATAGGAGAAAATCAAAAGGAAGGAAATAAGCAATCCAGTTCTGAGACGCCTAAGATGGGGGATAAAATAAAATATCAGCTTTATAACACAACGGTATTGAAAGACATTATTGATAAAGAATTTTGGAATCTATCTGAATTTGAGAAAAGATGTTATCAGAACCCTGAGGGGAAAGGAGCAATCTCATACGTTTATAATATATTGATGTGGCGACATGACTCCCCTATAAAGCTTTATACAGAGAAATGGGAGAGAAAGATAGCGGGGAAAATTGGAGGAAAGGAATTGGTTTCAGATATGGGATACCATTATACACTGTACAGTAAAGATTTCAGCAAAAGAGATGAATTATAAATATCTAACACAATACTATATTGTATATAATAGTATATGTGGTAAGTGATATATGCAAATGATAGTTAGTTGAGAATATACTGAGAAAAGCATGCTTAGTTGGCTGTTATTTTCACCCTGGGGGATAGGCGGGGAAATAGAGAAATGTTGTATGTGGTTGCATGAGTTTATTTTTTTGTTTGTGTTTTCTTTAGTGTTGTCAAATGTGTATGTGTGTGCGTGTGTGGGGGCGGGGGTAGTGTACATACATTGTTAAGTTATATAAAGAACAATGTAATAGGGTTGTTTGTTTATGTGTATATGTTTGTATGAAAAATAATTTTAAAATGTGCTCTTAACTGAGAGAATTTGTGATCTTTGAGTTGCACCTAAAAAAAAAAAACATTTTTAGTTCCTTAGTTAGTACTATTTGAATTCAGGGTGTGTTGCTGTCATCACCTATATACCCAAAGAATTTTAATTATTAGTAAGAATGTGACACCCAGTCATGGCTATTGGTGCAGTGTACGTACTTGAAGATAAAGATTCCGTATATAAGCTGCAGCAAAGCTCAGACACTACACTCTGCCTATAACCTCTTATCATATTCATCAGCCGCCTAGTTGATTGTTTGCAAGGATGTCAGAACTGGAGACTGCAATGGTTCTGATCATGGATGTCTTTGACAAATATGCCGGTGCAGAAGGCAAAAAAGGCACTTTAACCAAAACGGAGATGAAGAAGCTGTTGGAGAATGAGTTTCCTATGTTACTTCAGGTATGAATTTGCTACAATGTATGATGGGTTATATGTATCCACATAGAGTTGTCCACAGGGACTAGATGTTTCACTGACTGTTCTTTGTTATGCAAAATGTTCCGGCCCTTCAAGTCTATTTCTAGCCACAATGATCTTTGTTTTATAGAGTAGGAAAGAGATAGAACCTGTCAGGATTTTATTACTGTGCTCCCACCAGGAAGATTCACCCTCTCCAGTGACTGTTGTCACCAGAACAGAAGGTGAGATGAACTCTTCCAATAGGGACACCTGTTCTCATGACAACTGGGGATTCATGTTGATGGGCGTTCTAGGTAAATGTTGTGTTTTCTCTTCAAACACATGCAGCTGTGTTTCAATGGAAATCACAGCGTTTGACCTGCATTGCCTGCAGTTCTAAAACAACTTAACTGCAATGTGTACAGCTTAATGAAAGTTTGAATTTGCTGATCTGCATTTGACGTGCCAACGAGCACAGACAGCGCAAAAAAAAACCTGATACAGGTTCTGATTTTTGGATTCCCTAGTCTATTCCAAAAAGTTTTGCCCAGAGATATTCTCACAGGATAAAAATATTTTTAAAAGTGCACCCAGTGAAGAAAACAGTTTATACTTACTAGTCCTCAGTGGGAAAGCTAGACATTCTGTCACCTGGGGCAAAAGCTCAGAGTTGCTCCCACCCCCAAGGAAGAAATTCTCCATCCACACACCCAGTGGCGCTACTAAAGTGGCACTCGGCCCAGTGCCCAGTTTCGGCCTTGCTAGTCCTGCCACCCAAATTACTGATCTTCACACGTTTGCAGAGCTCAGGTGGATGAAACACACATATGCATTACAAAACACATCCAGATGTGTCGTATTCCTGTTCCTCAACTGTATGCTGTGGCTTCATCCAACAGACCTGTAGGGTCAATGGAAAAAGAACCACAGCACACAGTAGGGGACCAGGCATAATTATAATGAATGCTTCTGATACTTGGAAACGCTCATTATCTGCCATGGAGATAACATACATGGCTTGTGCAAAGGCTCTACTACTGAGCCCCCTGCTACTTCCAGCATTCAAGATATTTAGCCCTTGGCTCCTGGCATCTTTGCATATTTCTATTTTGTTCTGTTTTTTCTAGTTTTATTGTGTGTAACTATAAAAAAAGAAAAAAAAATGTAAAGAATTTAAACCTGAACTTTTACTATAACTTCATTACAGTTTTTTTTATATTCTTTATTATGAACTGACTGTTATTATGTTGGAGACATTTTAATTTCTTTTCAATCAAGTATTTAGGAAATACTGCATATGCATGTTTTTTTACACATGCATCCGATATATGGTGAATTGAATGCAATCTCAGTGTGCTTTGAAGGCTCTGAAAAAAGGGCTGCCAAAAAGCTGCAGGCAGTGCTAGGCTATCTTATTTGAAAGCCCGGCATATTCTGAGAATTGGGTGTCATGGATAAAGCCTATAATAAATGTTTACTTAAAAGTTATGCAAAAATGGCAAAAGTATATAAAGAGCGCATAAAAATATGCCCACATTTGCTAAAGAAAAAAAAATAAACATTCAGTTTTCCTTATTTGTGACCCGTAGGGTAACTTCTTTGTTTTCTGCACTTCTAAAGATTATTGGATCTGTTTTTAGTTTTATTCACCCAAGATTCATGGATTTTCTACACAAAAAACTTTTACAAATTCCTACTCACAAGATGTATGAAATAATGAAGCATGTTCAATGATCCACTCAGTGGGGGCACATAGCCCATCAGTCGTAACACGTTCGGCTATGTGCCCCTACTGAATGGATCGTTGTACAAGCTTTATTACTTCATACATCTTGTGAGTGTAACAGTTTTTAAAAATAAATAAATATGATTACACTTAGAGCAGGCTCTCTTGTGTTTTTGTTGTTTTATATATAAGATACCTGGAGTCTGGGAACTGCCCCCTGGTTGAGAAGGAACTTGGTGCAAAGAAAGCTGGATGTTATAAAGCACCTGAAGTGGTTGGCTATATAATATTTTCTAATTGGATTCAATTGGAAAATATGTGAATCCTGGGTATAAATTGTATGACTCTTGTAAAATAAAAACTATAAGTAGACTGCTATGTGTAAGTGTGTCATCTACATGGATAATAATAATTATTATTATACAGGATTTATATATATACAGGATTTATATAGTGCCAACAGTTTGCGCAGCGCTTTACAATATAAGGAAAACATTACAATTACAATACAATTCAAGACAAGAGGGTACGGATAAACAACAAGAATACTTCTGAGCCAAAAGATAACATTAAAGCATTTTTACAGGGTGTTAAAAGGGTCTATTTAATGCACTAAATTACAAAATATCTTTATTTTTATTTTAGGGTGGGAAAGGAAAGGACAATTGTGACAAGCTAATAAATGATCTGGATGAAAATGGAGACTCAGAAGTTGATTTTCAAGAGTTTGTAATCCTTGTTACTACCTTAACCTGCTTGGTACACGAAAAATGTCAGAAATGAGGCCAGAAATAACTACTTAAACCAGTCACATTTTATAAATAAAGCTTTGTGATTTATAATACTGTACAAAAGTCTGAGATATTTTTTTATAAACGGTGTGTCTCTACATTGCACGACTGAGAGGTTTAGGTGGAAAAAAGCCTGACTGCCAATGGTATCCTTCTCCTCTGAGCTGCTGGTGGGAACATAAGAGGATGCTGGAGGGACAAAGCCTTACATTCTTTTGCTTTTGTATTACAGAATACGAGAATATGTGTGACCATTCATGAACAGGTTATAGTAGCCCTAAACTAAAAAATTGACCATTTGGTGTCTTACAGGGAACATCCAGAAATGTTAAGGGTGCCTAGGCATTACCGAAAAAAGTATTTGTTTTGTCTTGAATTCCTCCTGATAAATAGTGCATTTTCCTATATCTAGAAACTTCTGTCCCCACAGCCCCACAGCTGTATATCTGCACTTTGAGATCATTCGGGCACTGTGCTGGTCTCGTCAGATTTGGAGTGAGATTTGGTAATGTCCCTTCTGTTCTGCTTGCTGGAGAGGAATCTGTACCTGAGGACCTGCACTTCACACCTCTCCCTGCTTTATCCATTCTGTGCATCTGTTTACCCCCAAACTTTCTCAGATGGGTAAGAGGGATCATGGACCACAATTAATTCATACACAAAAAAGGATTGGCTTTACTGAGCAGTGCTTTTTATTTCCACTCCTTTTCCTTTATGCAAAATAATGCAACAATATAGAGATTGGATCAAATATTTGGTGTAATATAACACTTTTTACAGATGAACAGTACATTTTTAATGAGGTCTATATATCAGAAGAAGAGAAAAAAAGAAGAGGGAGAACTAAAGAGGAAAGAGGGACAGAGGGATTTGGTTAAGAAAGGACAGTCCCTCCAAATTAAGGTTAGTTGAGAGCTATAAATCTGTGCCTCCTTCACCTCTCCTGTTGCTTCTTAATCATTACCCTTATCATTATCATTACCAGTTATCGGAGAGGGGGGCAGCGCTCCAGCACAATGGCTGCCTCCACAAATAAACACAGAGCAGAACACGGCATTATGTGCCTGTAAAGGGGAAATTATCAGCTACAGGGAGCCTACAGGCAATACTAGTGACTAAATAATGAAAAAATGAATTGAATCCGCGCTCTTAAACAAAAAGATACTGACCTATAATATACAATCAGCCGCTGTGCTATCAGTGAGAAAAGCACAGTGAACCAATTTTGAAAAATTTGCATTGCACTTTGTGTAAATATTACAATATGCTAATAATGATCTGTCTAATAATCAATATGTAAATGTGTCTTTCTTACCTGTAGTTTACAATGAAATAATTGTTAAACTGTACTCCTAAAATACATCATCAATGCAGTACAACCTATATAAAATGTGCTATAGTCCTCCTTAATACAAGTAGACAAGAATAAAAAAAGGCCACTCCCAAGTAGATTGTGCTCTTCAGTAGGTGATCTTCACTCCAAACGTGTTCACACACCACCCAAGTGCCTCAGAACCTTTTCTGCACTCACAGGATACAAATGGGCCATCATCTTATAGATGGACCTCATGTGCCTTCTCTAACAACCGAGGAGCATATTACGCCCCACTCTGCTGTCACTTTTGGCTCCGCTGTCACACCGACTTCACCGCTTCATACATCAAGCGACTTCTCATCCAATCCATCAAGACTCAAAGAGATAAATAAATGTTTCCCATGGTGTAGTCAGTTAGAACATCTGTGATTAAAATCATTAAAGTACACTTACATAAAAACCACTAGTAATTTGTATAATACACCGTCCTATTTTCATCTGGCCAGCGTTTGTCCCATCCTGTCTGGTGATGTTAACATGTACCAACCATCCAATGCAACGAAACAGGACGGGAGAGATAGGGGAGACGCAGGCAACGGCATCCAACAATGCTGAGGGAGCCACTTCGTCGTTCTCCTCCTGCCCACTGCTTCCTCTGCCAGTGCTGGGACAAGGCCATCTGGCGCCCAGGGAGAAGAGAATGTCAAACATTGATGTTACTGGATGTAATAACCTCCAGCATTGGTACCAGTGGATGCAAAAATAACCCCCAGCTTAGGTTCCAGTGGACACAAAAATAACACCCAGCATAGGTTCCAGTGGACACAAAAATAACACCCAGCATTGGTGGTCAATGTTAATTAACCCCTTCCCCCACCTTGCATTAGTGGATGGTCAGTGGAAATTTACAATGCCACTGACCACCCTAGTGCAAGGAAGAAGGGGCTAATTAAACCCTTTGCCCTTGCATTGCTTGGTGGTAAGTGATATTGTTAACCTTTTCCCTCCCCCCTAGCAATGGTGGCAGTGGCAGTACAGGAAAAAAATATACTTACCTTCTCTCTGCAGATTCCAGCACTTGGCACAGCCATGACTCACAGCCAAGACTCTAATTCATCTGTCGGACAGAGATCACTCTAACTGATGGATGAAATAGCGCCCCTGATCATGGCTGCTGGCGTCTTAGTGCTAGGTGCTGGGGGTATGCAGAGAGTGCCTTCCAATCACCCAAAGAATACAATTCAAATATTTACAACTACTTACAGAGCAATGCACAACTCTGCCCTTGGCTATAATTCCAATTTCGTCTCAAAGTATCACTCTAAGCATCCTCTCCACCCCTCCCAAGACCTCCGGTTCTCTAGCTTCCTTGCCAAATATTCCCATGGACTTTTTCCAGAGTATCTTCCATCCTCTGGAACTCCCTACTACTACCCCAACTTGTCATACTATCTCCTACTCTATGCATCACTGTAGATGCTCAAATTAACTCTGAATTGACACTGTCCATCCTTCTGGAGGGTGGCTACTTTTTGTCCCAATGGTCCCTGTGTGTTCTAAAGTAGCCACCACTTTACAGGTCGGCTAGAACTATGAGGTGAGTGAAAAACACTCACCTCATAGTTCTCCTTTAAGTAGCACCTAAAAAGCCCCATTTTTTATTTCTTTGTTTGGTCAATTCTGAGTTCACAGTTTTGTGCCATTATCGCCTATCCACCCAAAGAATTTTAATTGCCTATTTACTTTTGTTAATAGTAAGAATGTTACACCCAGTCATGGCTATTGCTGCAGTGTATTTACTTAAGATAAAGATTCCTTATATAAGCTGCAGCACAGCTCAGACAGTACATAGGTATCAGATTCTTTTTTTTAAACCATGTGTTTCAACATTGCAAGACTGAGAGGTTTAGGCAGAGAAAGTCCTGACTGTCAATAGTATCCTTCTTCTCTGAACTGCTGGTGGGAACATAAAAGAGGATGCTATTTTGAAGTTTGAAGTATTTTTAAGATTCAACATATTTATACATTTACTTTACTATAGATATAAAGTTAGATGTTTGATGGATTGATACTGAAGTCTTCATAAGTGTATTTTAAAAGTATTTGTATAGCTGGCCCCTTATTGGATACTTTACATTTTATTTATAGGACCATATATTTTATTTATACAGTAGACCATACACCCATCATGTTGGGATTGTTATATCTTCACTGCTTAAGAGGTGATAGATTGTATTTGTTTTTCTATAGAGATGGGTATTCTGTCCCCGTTACACATTGTTCTGGGGCCTGTGTCTAACTCAACATGTAGCTAAACCCTCCTATTCTGCAATAAGCCAGACTGAGTGAAATCGTTATGCTTTATTAACAAAACAGGGTGGGGTGAAGCTGGTAAAAAAAAAAGGACATAGAAGCACAATCAATATGAAAAACATGTAAATACAGTAACAGTATAGAGAGAAGTCCAATCCTACCAGAGATGCTGCCTAAGAGGGATGTGGGTTCTTTCCTCCAGGCATGCTGCAGATGGCAATGGATTCTCTTCTTCCTCAGTCCTAAAATGGAGGTTAAACTCCATAAACACTGAGGAGTGATGATAATTTGTTTTAATAAGGAAAACCAGTCTGAAGCTGCTATAAACAGAGATATCATCGCTTCTCGGCCTTTTGGCTAAGATCAAGTGTAGTATCTGTTCTTATCAGTTTTCGGTGGGGAAAAGAACCGTCCTTGCGGGGGATGGTTACTTAGTACTCGCTGGAGTGAAAGAGCGTGTGGGGCGGCTTCCTTTGAGAGGGGAACCGCTCAGTACATGGCTTTCTGACTGAACAGATGCGAAGCTTGGTCTGGCTCGAGGGTTCGGGGGAGGCAGAAGCCCGTGGTGTTGTGCCCCCTGGGGGTGGCGTCCCAGGGGTGCTCAGAAAGTCACTTGGGTATGGGACCCCACATGACTCACTGTAGCACTCGGTCACACACCATATTGCTTTTTCTGCTCAACGCCTCTTGGACAGGCCTTATGGCTAGTCCGGGGCAATATTTTTGCACTCCGGCCCCTAAGGCCTGTCAGCGTGGTGCACTGGCACTTTAGATTTATTTATGCACTCTATGCACGATTGGCACTTTTTTATTTTAAATTTGACCCACAGATGCGAAAGGTGCAGGTTTCTTCGGGGCCTATTCCTGACGCTGGGAGGAGATTCTGTGCCTCGTAGGGGGTTCTCTGTCTCCTCCCACCCAGGAAGGGGGTCTCTCTTCGGGAGAGCCCCCTTGCCAAGTACTGTGGGGGACCTGTTTCGGCAGGTCCCCAAAGGAAATGGACCATCGGCCTTCGGGTTGGTGGTCCAAAGTATCTCAACCCCTGTCAGGAGCCTTGCGCCCCGGGGGGTCGGGAAGTAGGTCCCTTCTTTGGAAGGACCTTGCACCCTTGTGCACGTTTTTGTGTGCTGTGATTTCACGGTTCACTTTTTTTGTTCACAGGGGGAAGTTTGTTTAGATGCACGTCCACGGGCTTCGATATAAAAAAATAAAATAAACAGAGATATCTTTTCTTCAGCTCCATCTAATGGTCAAATTTAATGTTGCAGGTAGGTAAGCCTAATTATTTTCTACTCTGAGGCAGAAGAGTGGGTGTATGAAAAGCCCTCCTAATTCACAAAAGCCTCTGCTAGAGTGGATAGTTT